TTTGTACTGTTTGCCCCCGACCAAGCACTATTGGGACCTCTGGGCCGAATAGCTGCTCGGTCTGGTTAACTAATATGCTGTATGAATGTGCTTGTTTTTGCACTGAAGGAAGGAGGTCTTACTTAGGTCCAGGTTGGTTCTAAAGAACAATTGTTTGCCCCTACTTGGAGCTAAGTAAGATTGATACTGAAGAAATCGCTCCTTGGTAAGACTGCTTAAGTCTGTTGCAACTTTGATAGCACAAGTGCATTGTAGGTGTAAAGAGGTGTCTTACTCAGGTCTAGGTTGGTTTGAAAAAATAATTGTTTGCCCCTACCTGGAGTTGAGTAAGACTAGTACTGGAAGTTTGCTCCTGATAGAATATAGCCAAGTCTGTTACAACTTTGTTTATATGCAACAGTGTTGAAGTGTTGCTGTACCTTGTACTTAAGAAAGAGTTGATTGTGACTGTGAAAAGTCTGTGATTTCCATAAAAGAAATGATTAGTTGAAAATTTTATTAGTGTGGTTTCTACAAAGTGATTCCACTTGGCTAAATTCCATTTTAGTTGCCAAACATAATTCCACCAAGCAATTCCTCTTTGCATGCGTGAGTGCAAACCAAAACCAAATTACGTTTGGTCGCTCTGAAACTAATTCCATTTGGTAAACACCAATGCTAAGTTCTTTTGGTAAATACCAAAGTTAAGTCTGTTTGGTAAATACCAAACTAATTCCGTTTGGTGAACACCAAAACTAAATCCATTTGCTAAATACCAAAGGTAATCACATCGAAATAAGCCCACAAGGCTTCGATTATAGGTACATCTAAGCTTTTGGTTGTGCTGAGCTAGATCTCCTAACATCTTTGGTGGCCAAGTAAAGAACGGTTCTCTCTTGATTTTTTCTCATCGGTCTGCACTTTGTTGGTTTCCTTTGCCCGGTTGTTTGGCCGTAGACACCTTGATGGAGTGATCATCTTCGAGGCGAGCGTACTGCTTAATCCTAGCACGTAAATCCTTTAGTGTTGTGGCTGGACGCTTGGTAAGTGATTGCCCCAACTTGCTTTCCGGCCGCAGACCACGCTTAAAAGGCATTCCTACTATCTGTTCGATGCAGGTATTTTCCCTTAAGTCGTTATACTCTTCCTAGTACGTCCTTGCATAATTGCGCAGTGTTACCTTCTGTTCCTTTTGGAGACCGAACAAGGTGTCCGGCTCTTTAGGGATTTTGGTGTTTGAGACAAATCAGGCTAAGAATTCTTCGAAGAGCTGCTTCCAGTCGTAGATCGATCTAGCAGGGAAACGATTGAATCATTGAAGTCCAGACTCTTCCAGACTGGATAAGAAGGCCTTACATATTAGTGCCTCATCTCAGTTCCACAAAGACATTATTTGCCGATAATGGCCGATGTGCGTGAGTTGATCTGATTTCCCCATCATATGGTGTGAATTTTAGTGAAATGAACTTCTTAAGAGGTCTTATAGCTTCAATGTCTGGGGCGAAAGGAAAGGAGACGAGCCGATCCAGTGCTCGGTGCCCCCTCTGATGGATAGTACAATCAAGGTGCTGAGCCTACCGCTCTCGTCATTGCTCATTTTCTCTGTTCTCGACCAACCATGTACGGAGATCCTGAGGAGGATACTCCGTCTGTTGGCTAGCCGTTTTCTGCCTTTTAGCCCTCTTCCGACGTGAACCACGGGTGTGGCTGCTCACTACTTCACTTTACACCGGGATTGGCTAACTACGTTGCCCAGGCTCATTTCTGGGGATCTTCTTCATTGGTGGTTCCATGGATGGGCTTCTCTGACGTAAACGAGAGAGTTCTACGTCGGTCCCCTTCTCCGTCAAGTCACCCATCATCCTCTTAAGCTGTGCTTTTAGCTCCTATATCTTCATACCTATGGGATCAATAATGCGATCTCTATAATCTTTCTCCAACAAAAAATGATAAGAAGAGCCACCGGCAAAGGGTTGTCGATGCTCAATAGATTCTGGAGTCCGATTATTGTTTCCGATCTGCTCCTCCAGAATTGTCAATAGTACCAGGCCCTTATCATTCGTCTTTTCTGTCAGTGGAGTCAATGTAGAGGGTGGAATATCCTTAAGTCCCATCGTCGGAATTAGATGCAGAACTCAGAAATGAAGGGTCCACGTTCACTGCACCAATTGTGCATATCGAATACCGCACTAGATGATTGTGGACTAGAGCTCTACACCCGATTGGACTATCTACGAATTAAGACCCTGAGAAAAGAGCATTGTTAAAGTTGCCCAGCCGGATTGACCGGATAACCCCTTCGGTGTAGGAGTAAGTGGATGGAGAAGATGAGAGACTCTCTCTAGGTACAAAGAGAGGTAAGTGTAAAGTGAATTCAGTTGTGTTTAAGTGAGTATAATTTAGCTCAACTTCGTTACCTTCAATGTGAAGAAAGTGGAGTTTATATAGAACACCTTCCTTGTTGCCCAAGGCGGTTTCATCAAGCTTGGGTGCTGCAAGGATCCCTTTAGCAATACTCAAAGTAGCGGACCATCGGATAGTTGATGCATATACTTAATGTAATCATCCTTATAACAGATCACACTCCTCTAATCAACTGTTTCTGCGATTCTACGAGAGGATTAGCTGAGGTGGCAGCCTGCACATGTATACATTTATAGCTTTTATGTTTCTCTAAGAGGTTCCCTCAACTTGGTACCGTTGTGCCTTGGCTCGGCCTTTTGTCGAACTATTTGTAGAGATGGATGGCCCATTCGGATATCTTTGTATGGGCTCGACCCCACTTTGGTTTTGATAATGAGTTCAGCCCATCAATTCAGTTCATAGATTAAGTTCTGTAGCTCGGCCCAGCCTAGCATCGTAGCTAGAGAGGCCTTTCCATTGCGAGTTGGGTCCAAGTAGTTAAGGACTTGGGTGGACTGTTGATCATAGAGTTGGGTTTAATTAGCTTGCCCACATGTTCATCTGACCCACTTGGATTTGGGCTTAGAGGATTGGGCCGACCCAAAGCTTGGATCCAACCTGTTTCACATCTAGCCCCTTCAAATATTATTAATTAGACCAAATTCACAAAATATGAAAAATTAAAATGCAAAATTGATATATTGTAGTTAAATGGACCGAATTGCCATAAGAAACAAATTATAAGGACTGATATATAATTTGTTTAATTTTTTATATCACCACCAATCAACTAAATACATCATTTATATATTCTCCAAAGTCAGCTGACATACTTGATTCTACTTGGCTTCGCCCATGCTTGGGGAGTGCACCAAGGATCCTCTAGAGTGAAATTTAGCACTCTAGGAAATTTTAGGAAAAAATCACTCTAGAGGATCCTTGCTCTGGGGAGTGAGGCAAGGCAATCCCTGCTCTGCCGCCATCAAGTGCAGAAAGAAAGCTTCAAATACAATTAAATAACTAAATAAATAAAAAGAAAAATAAAAAAATAATTATAAAAAAAAAAATTGGAAACATTGCTCTTTGGTGCTTCCAAGAAGTTTCCTAATTGTGCAGACAACTAATAAAATGGAAATCAGTAATGGCAGGTATCATGAAAAACCTTTCATGAAAATAATCATGAAAGTTTTGTGACCCTTAAATTATACTTAGAATAAAACATCACACACTAATATGAAAATAATCATGAAAACTTTGTGATTATACTTAGAATAAAATATCACACATTAATCAAGGTAATCAAATAATCATAAATCTTTTATGATCATTTTCATAAAAAAAATTTCATCATCCCTAACTTTTGTCAATGAAAATATGAGAGATTTCCTAAAATGGAACTCGTTTAGATTTCCCAATCCTAAGCATGTAAGGTTTTCAGGCAATCCTATTCACTCAATCTCTCTGTCTGTAAATAAAAGCCAATGCTCCTTTTCAGGCAATCCTATTCACATCACCAGGCATTACTTCTCTTTCTTGCTTTCCGATTCTTCGTTTCTTTTTCTTGCTGTCTTTCAAATCTCTCTGTTTAGGGTTACGTTGCGAATCGTCTGTGAATAATACTTTAGTGTGACAATGTTTACTTTTGTTTCATCAGTCAGGGGAGCCATCTGTGTCGACTACTTTGGTGGTGAGTTCGGTCTGCCTCTGCCTCGGCCTCAGCCTTAGGTTGATGCCAAGAAGATGAATGACAAGAAGGAGAATGGCCATGGGGGCACAGAATCTGCATCAGTAGCACCGGCGGCGGTGGCGAGAATTGGAAAGAAAGAATTGGGAGTAACAGTCGCCTTTGATGGGTTTCATCCTTTCGAAACCCTTATCTATCACTGATGAAGTTCATGGCCAAGGACACGGGACTGACAAAAGGCTACTTACATTATGGTACTGACTAAAAGTTTGTAGGATTCATTCATAGTTGGTAGATATCACGTAAATATGCATAGATATTGATATATTTACACATATAGGTCTCCCTTTTTGTATATGTTATTTGATTTTCTAAGAAGGTTTTTTTTTTTTTCTTTTTTTGAATGGAATTATATATTTATAGTTTGAGATTTTTGAGAAAAATTGAATTGATTGAAGTTCCTTGTGCACAAGACATGATAAGTGTGAATAAAATAAAGTTTAAAAAAAAAAAAAAAAAGTGTCAATAACAATTACCTAATCAATCAATTTTTTTTTACACATTAAAAAAATAAATCATAAAAAACACACTCAAGTCCAACATGTACTAAAATGCTTCATGCACTTTTTGTTTACTATTTATATATAAAAAAAAAAAAATTAAATAAACTGAAAAAATAACCAGAGACAAGAACAAAAAACACATTTGATTCCAATAGGTATCACTCAATAATACATATTCCAATATCACTATTTAAAGTCATGACATGCCGACATATCTTTTGATACGACCATTTAAAATCATAGAATAGGCTCATAATATAATCACCATTTTTCACAACAGCACACCATGAAAGAGATTGAGAAGGAAGAGGAGGGACTACTATCATTACAAGCTTCACCTAGCTAATTTATAAACTACCAACAATATATTTTTAAGGTTGGTAGAGCTTATCTCCACATTTGCATTTCCATGAGAGGAGATAATAATAGTCATCCTCTCGATGAGATGATGATGATGATTCTTTGAAGCTCTTCTTATTATCCTGAGGAGGAGGAATAACCAGAGTCGCCATGCAAGGCCTGCAACTCATGCACTTGTTTTCACAAACAGGAGGCCTTGAACCTAACACCATTTTCCTTTGCTGTTGGTTCTTACTGTCACTTGACAACTGCATAGTACCAACTGCATATATACATAGCCCCAGTTTGCAAAATAAAAGCAAAATAATAAAGATGAGATAGTGATATACATTGTTAGGAATCCGTAACTATACACGAAAAAAAAAAAAAAAACACAAAATGAATTATATGACCTAAATTTAAAATTAGTAGAATGTGGACCACATTAAGAATGACTGTGATCTATATAAACAGGTACTTTTCTAAGTTTGTAGCATTATTGAAATAAATAAATAAATAAAACAAGAATTGTGAGGCACACAAGTACACATAAAACTTACATGATGCTCTCTAAAATTAGGAATATATCCAAAGTTATTGTGGTTGCAGTATGACCATAAAAAGTCAAGTTGGAATTGATTGCATCTACCTAGTGAAAATACTAAAAATATCCTTACTCCAAATTCGGGTGAAGTGAATCTAGTAAATATTAATAGTTATCACGATCCATGCTATTTCTCTCCCAATATACTCTATGCCGTATTATTGTACATTGATATAGAAATCTAATGAGACCATAATCTCGAAACATGATATAATTAATGACTACAAATGAATTGATGCATAGGGATAAAGTGTATATCCCGTGCTGCGTACAAATATGCATGGAGGAGAATCCCTTCCCATCTAGATTTTGCATTGAAGGGTACTATTTGGGCTCATGGAGCCCATCACAAGACCTTTTTTGATGATCCAAATCGTTCATTTTGTCAGACACTTTGTGTATTTCATCTATAAAAAAAATTAAGTCAATCTAATAACTGTAATTTGTTCAATTTTTCATGAAAAAAATAGATAACAATTGTGTTTTTTAAAACAAACCATACATTTTTTAGTGAAAAACGTAATAAATTGAATATGTTATAGTTATCGGATCGATCTAATTTTTTTTATGAATGAAATACACGAAGTGTCCCAAACAATAAACGGTTCAGATTATTAAAACGAGACCTGTAGTGGATCTTAGGGGTCCAAACAACACCCTCCAGTCCAAATCCTCCTCCAATATGCATATACATGTATATGAACTAGAAAGAAAGAAACAAAACATTGCTTAATAGAGCCCGAAACACACACGATCAAAATACCCATTGTGTTCCCCACCTCCCAAACAAACAAACAAAAAAAAAAAAGATCATGGATTTCCAACATTCATTAGGTTTTAGATTTTACAGAAGAGGGTTGGTTTCATTTACCTGATTTGGAAGGCAAAAATGAGAGAGAAGACATAAGAATCACGGTGACTGCAATTTTCAGGCCATGTGGGTACTTTTTTGCGGATAGAGCCATCATTATTTGGAGACCTTGATAGAGAATAACAGTATTGTAGCAGAAGAAAGGGATGTTGATAAAGAAGAGGAAGAAGAAGATCTCTTTTCAAGGCATTGGCTGTGTTGAAAGTATGTGTATATATATTCAGAGACAGGGTTATATAATGTTTCCATTAGAGGGGACAACTCGCTGATGCCAGACTTCTTGACCAATTTAATGTATCGTAAACGTAGAAATTAGAAATTTATGTTTTACTCCCTCTTTTGGGAAATTGTTGCTCTGACTTTAGCATTTCAGTTTTTAGTGCAAGATTGCAAGGACTTAAGATTTAAAGGCGATGGTTTTTTTTTTTTTTTTTTTTTTTGGGGGGCGGGGGAGGGGGATTAGATTACTAGTAAAGTAAGGTGAGATTAGATTAGTAGTAAAGTAAGATTCATATAAATTATGTTTATTTTGAAAATGATAAAGTATACTTTTCTTTTTTATATTTAGTCATTTTTTTACTTTAATCTTTAAAATTTATTTTTTTCTCACTTTAACCCTTTATGTTTCAAGTTTTTTTTTTTTTTTTTTTTTTAACTTCTAAAGGTAAGCTTTACTCAAAATTAGATAGAAAATTATACATTAACAGTCACGTGGTATAAAAATATTTTATTATATATAGATTACACCTCTAATACAAACTCAAATCCTAATATAATAATATATTTTTATGTTATGTGATAGTTATTGTGACATTTTTTGTCTAATTTTTGTGTGGGTGATTTTCCGACCACACTGCCCGCTTAGTAACCAGCTGGAGAGCACTGGCAGAATAGATGGCACCTGACTAACCTGCAACAGAAATATAAAAATCCCGCGGTGGTTTCGACCACCCGGGGGCACTCCGACGATCAAGTCAGTATATCTCTCAAAGATAAATCAAATACTAAACTCACAAGTTTGAGTATCAAAAGCCTACCCTAAACCCACGGAGGTGCCTCTCTTTTATAGCCAATACAATCCTAGTCTCAATAGGAGCCTGGCCCTAATGAACTTAGGATTACTGCTAATCTGGGACTCACAGTGGGATTAGGATAAACTCTCTAAGAGTCTTATCTTTACCCAAACTGAAGTCTTCTCTCATTCCAAGACTCTTGTCCATATCCAAGTTGAGTTCCCTCTTCTTTCTAGGACTCTTGTCCCTTATCCGCTTATCTCGGATTCCGATATCTTCGGAGGCAACCTCGGCCTAGCTGAGATGACCTCGGCACAACGACCAAGACACGTGGTACCTCGGCTGACACGTCGGCGTCACCTTACCACGTGTTGGTACTCAGAAAATATATCCCCACACTTACCAACTAGGTTCTATTACCTTGGCATTCTGAGGTGATGGAACCTACACTGTTCGTTCATCTGTGCCCCTCTAGATCAAACTCGCCGACCTCAAAGTTTCCTGGACCTTACTGTCCACTTCTGTCAAGTGTATGTTTCAAGCTGCTCGAGATCATACCTCCTAGCCGAGGTTCTTGTTCCATTAATTCGTAAACTCCAAGAGCTTTGCAACTGCTCCACTCACACTCTCTGGTGAGTTCCCGATTTCCAGTCATCTATTTGACTCCGGCGATTTTCATATCGGCGTTCATTTCACTTGATAGGTTCATAAACTCTTTACTTACTATTAGGCTCAATCTTTCATAACTCTTCTGATTTACTTTGAATCTGTTTATTTTCCATCTGTGGCCTTCTATTCTCGTCTATCTTCAAGGTTTTGATTTCTTATTGCTAAAATGCCTGGAACTGTTCTTTGTCATATCTGCTTTCTGTTGCTAGCATCATGTCTGGTTCATTACTTTCTTGTTCTTCACATACTTACTTAGTGCCTGTGCACTTGGCTTTATTCTTGAACTTTGTCGTCTTCTTGACTATTTTTCTGTCCATTAGGGCCAGGCTCCTATTGAGACTAGGATTGTATTGGCTATAAAAGAGAGGCACCCCCATGGGTCTAAGATAAATCAAATACTAAACTCACAAGTTTGAGTATCAAAAGCCTACCTTAGACCCATGGGGGTGCCTCTCTTTTATAATATACTCAATCCAAATCCCACTAGAAGTATGACTTCTATGAACTCTAGTTCACTGCTTACTCTGGACTCTTTTAAGTGATAAAGATAAACTCCTTGAGAGTTTTATCCTTATCTTGGTTCAGTCCCCTCCTTGCCTTAGGACTCTTGCCCCTTATCTCGGATTCCGATATCTTCGGAGATGACCTCGGCTTCTCCGAGATTACCTCGGCTTAACTACCAGGGCACGTGGCACCTCGGCTGACACGTCGGCGTCACCATGCCACGTGTTGGTATTCAGAAAATACATCCCCACAATTTTGAATAGAAGTTAGCTTTAGGAATAAACTATAAGAAAAAATATATATATATATATATATATTAAGAACCAAAGTGAGAAAGTGACCAAACATAAAGGGACCAACGTGTAAATTACCATTTTGAAAAATTATAATAGGATTAAGAGTCTCATGAGATTATGAAACACTTTTAATGAGGGATTTGGGTTTTCTAATCCAATCGGAAATGGGGTCACTACCTCAATATATTTGAGGTTATAGACTTATTTTTATGATCTGAACCGTTCATTTTGTAAGGTTTGTTGATTAGTTCATGCCTACCAAAAATCATATTAATCGAATGTCAATAACTATATGATCGAATTGCATATTTTTTATGTTATTTCTCAAAAGAAAAAGCTATTGTTTATTTTTTTTAGTTATCGATCATATAGTTATTGATATCTCATTAATATGACTTTTGGTAGGCATGAAGTACTCAACAAACCTTACAAAATGAACGGTTCAGATCATAAAAACAAGTCCATAATGGACCTCAAATTGAGGTACAACAGTCACTGTTGTATCTTTAGCACAACAGTGACTCCAATTCCAATCCAATCTCGATTTGAGGTAAAATAACTTTATTGTCCTCCATTTTATACAAAATAATTATATCACTTTTTATAGAATAAAAATTTTTAAGTTTGTATTACATATATGTTTCATTATGTAGAACACATTTGTGTTTTTAAAGTTATTGATAACATGATAAAGTCTCACTATTTGTTAAGCTAATATATGTCCTACACATGTACATGCCTTTTATTATATAAATACATTTAGGAGGTAAAATAAATATTCAAACAAAATCAGTCATAAAAGCATTTCTCAAAATTTTCTTATAACTCTTTTGTTTGTTGCACTATAATTGAGAGGGAGATTAATGATATGGAATTTGTGCTAGACAGATTTGGGCCGAACAGGTATTGGGCCAAGTTGTGTGGCCCGGCCTTGATGGAAGCTGCTCGGTTAAGGCAGCACGTTGATTGACCGAGCTGCAAGGATCCGTGATTACGAAGCCGGTCAGGTGAAAAGTCCAGCGCCAGGAAAGGCAAGGTTGGACCGAGGTACCTATTTGCTCGGCAGGTAGGTCGACTGCAGACAAGCGTAAGTAGTCCAGAGCTCGGCTTTGCCGAGATGCCACCGAGTCCGGTCCTCATCTAAGCTTAGCTGTTGGAGTACTTGGGCATGAAGCGCAGCATGACAGACGATGGTCGAGATGGAATTGCCCGGCTGCTGAGCTCCCAGGAGAATGGGCGGACAGTTGGATTAGGTGATGTTCAGCAAGGTTTATGCTGACATATGGGATAGCGGAGCCACATGTCAGGAGATGACTGGGAGTGGATATGGGGCGCAGAGGGTATATAAGCATGTCTGCACCCCTCATACGCAGACAGATGAACACTTTGTAAGGAATTTCTTACACTCAAACACCTCTCTCCCTCTCTCTCTCTCTATCCTAAGGTGTGTGCTAACTTGATCGTCGGAGAGTTTTTCCGGCCACACACCGCCGGGTAGCTCACCGTTATTTGCTCGCAGGTGATCGGACAGAAACGGAGCTCGGAAGAAAGGAGTACGGGCTTGCCGGAATATTTGCTCCTCGTACAATTGGCGCCGTCTGTGGGAAGCTTGACAGATAAAACCTTGTCTTTTCAGGCTCATCTGATCGCCGTCCATGGTGAACAATGACGAGATTCCGTTGTCCGCCATCGATGGAGCTACCCCGGAGTTCACCCGACGGAGAGAAGGACATCCTGCCATTCTTCCAATGGCGAACTTGGATACATTCACTGGAGGACAGTCAGGAGACGCGCGGAAGAAGTTATGGTCATTCACGAAGTCCAGACGGTCATCGGCGGCGGAGAGAATCACATGCCCGACGTCTGGAACACAAGTTGAGGGACCAAGACGCTATAATCTGGCGAATGGCGGCGGAGATGGAGGAGTTAAAGCAGCATGTCAAGGGGAAGGGTGTAGATGGAGTGGTAGACCACGGAGAGTGCACCCCATCCCGCCGTTCTGGTAGTCAGAGTCAGCGGCATACTCCGTCCATTTATATTACCAGAAGTTTCAAGGTTGGTGATTCCGATGTGCATACAGAGAAGTCCAGCGCGCAAGATAGCACTTACCAGCCCTCGCGTCCGGTGACGACGTCGAGATATTCCTATTCCGCTCGTTCAGAGGACTTGCGGGCAGTCTTGAAGGAACGGGCTCGCCGGCGGGAGGCTCAAAGGGTGCCGGCGTTCCAGCGGCTATCCTACAGGGTTCATGCCAGCGAGGAGGTCGGAATGCCCCCACCCCAACTAGCGGCGCCACTCCTTGTAGATACAGACTTGGCGAGGCTGAGCGCCACCCCTTTCTCCCTGGAGATAGAAACAACACCGCTTCCCGCGGGCTTCCACCAGCCAAAGTTCACGCTTTATGACGGAAAGACCGATCCCTATATGCATATAAGCCACTTCCGACAGGTCATGGCCGGACGTAGGCGAAATGACGCTCTTATGTGCCTCATCTTCCCGTCAAGTTTGGGCGAGCTGGGCTTGAAATGGTTTGAGAGGTTGCCGGAGGCAAGCATAGAAAGGTGGCAGCGGTTGGCGAAAGCCTTTGTGACGCATTTCAAAACCAACACCAA